ACATAACAACGTCACGTTAGATCGATCGGTGGGGACGCCGTGGTGACGCCGGTAGGGTCAATTTTATTTTCGTCAGAAGGTGTCAAGATGATAAACAGTTTCATTGGACTCAATTCTTGCTTAGGTTAACCACATGCTTACCTAAGATTATACTGACACTGGTTTCAAATTAAATAACTGACAACTTTGGTTTGTATCATATCCGTGATGACTTCGTCGCCGAACGATGGCAGCAAACCAAAAACAAAATACATCATACAATACATTGTTATGTTTACTGGACGAGTTCTCATTGATAATTATAAGACAATGTCATAAATACAAGTGCATATAATTTTTATATATATATATATATTTTTTCTCTGCAATTTTAGGTGATTGTATAACCGCAATCATTATGTACAGTATACGTTTTTATAACAATACCTATAATAAGTCTAGGCCTAGTCCTAGTAGCCTAATAGTATTTTATTTAACCATTTTGCCCATTACCATACAGTATGTCATTTTGGAAGTGTTGCCGTTTTGGTTTACTGCGGTTTGACTTACTGCCGTTTTGGTCCATTGCCGTTCTGGTCTAAAAGTGTTGCCGTTTTGGTTTTTTGCCGTTTTGGTCATTGCCGTTTTGACTTATTGCCGTTTTAGTTTTTTGCCGTTTTGACCAGCTCGAACTGTACAATAATAATAATACTCTATAGGCCTCCGTCAAGTACGTTGTAACTCTATGCATAAACAAACTATTTCGATTACGTAACACCGTGTTGCGTCGTACTTTGTAATAATCGTCGTATTTTGTTATAAATTTGTCGTATTTTGCAAAAATTAAATAACCTGTCGTATTTTGTAACAAACCTATCGTATTTTGTAACAACAGAGCTCGTCGTATTTTGTAATAAACTCATGAGCTAACGTCGTACTTTAAATGCATGTTTACTTCTATAGGCCTACTTTTGCAGGTTTTTTAGAGATTAAATAAATGCTTGTGTGATTGTTTGGTGTGTGAAATTATTATACTATAGTATAAATACTATACTATACTATACACTAT